TTTTTACATTTAAAAATAAAGTTTTATTATATTTTAAAATATAAAAAGCAGGGGCAGCGAGGTGGCACAGTGGACAGAGCACCAGCTCTGGAGTTAGGAGGACCTGAGTTCAAATCCAGCTTCAGACACTTGACACTTATTAGCTGTGTGACCCTGGGCGAGTCATTTAACCCCATTGCCTAGCTCCCAAAAAATGTAAAAATCATTCTCTTTTTTAAACAATATTTTTTACTTTAGACTTGAATATAAAATGAGAAAAGAGAAAAAAATCATTGCCAGGTACACAGCAGACCATAAGAGAGGATTAGATATAAACAATAAATTTCCATTTCAAATAAACCTATATAATAAACACTACACATTGTTTTCAAAGTTGCCCCGCTTTTCTTTGCTTCCTTGTTAGTTTTCTTTTGTTCTCAGCTGTGCACTTTTTTTTTGGGGGGAGGCAATGGGGTTAAGTGACTTTGCCCAGAGTCACACAGCTAGTAAGTGTATGTGTCTGAGGCCAGATTTGAACCCAGGTCCTCTTAACTCCAGGGTTGGTGCTCTATCTACTGTGCCACCTAGCTGCTCCTACTGTCCCCCCCCCCACAGCCCTAAAGAAGGCTACAATTAAACATGGATATATATCTTTGTGTATAGCTCTCATTTTTATAATGTTTCCTAAAAGCAACATATTGTTGAATTCAAATTTTCAATCTGTTAAATGTAAGACTGTACTACGCTTACTTCCAGCTGTCCTCTGTTTCTCTGAAGGTGAACAGCATCTTCCTTCATATGTCCAAGTCTTTTCATGTTTTTCTAAATCAATCAGTTCATCATTTTCTACACCACAGTGGTATTCCAACCTAATCACATCCTATCTGAGAGACTATGAAAAATTTCCCCCAATTTTCTGCATTCCTTTTATTCTTGGCTATATAGATTTTATTTACTCAAGAAAATTTTAATTTAAAATAATCAAAATTATCCTCCTTATACATCAATAATACTCTCCCTTATAATATTTTTTAAGTTCTGATTTTGCTAAATCTATTTCCTTTACATCTTTTTTCCTGGTTTCTTTGAAGTTCCTGACCTTTTGCTCTTCCAAGTAAACTTTTTATTATTTTCCTAACTCAGTAAAATTTTTTTTGTAATTTAATTGGAATGACATTGAATAAATAGGTTAGTTAGGAAAAATTGTCATTTAAAAATTATATTGGCTTTACCTACCCATGAACAATAAATATTACTACAGTTATTTAGATCTGAGTTTATTTGTATTAAAAATATTTTATGTTTATGTTCATATAGTTCCTGTGTCTATTTTGGCAGGTATATGTTCAGGTATTTTATACTGTCTAGGTATTTCAAATGGTCTAAAACAATATTGAGTAATATTACTGACACATAGTAGTTTCTTTATTCTTCACTTTTGATGAAATCTAATTTAACTTTAACTTTGTCTGAGATCATGATTACTATCCCTGCTTTTTTTACATACTAAATTTTACTCCTGCCCTTTATTATATCTTTGTGTGCATCTCTCATTTTTATAATGTTTCCTGAAAGCAACATATTGTTGAATTAAAATTTTTACTCTATCCATTTCCATTTTATGAGCAAATTCTTCCCATTCCCATTCTAAGCTAGTTACTTGTTGTGTATTTTTCTCCTTCCTATTTTTCCTCACTATTCTTCTCACCCTATTTAACTTAACTCTCCTCATTCCTCTGCTTTACTTCTACCCCTTATCTTGCCCTCTTATTCCTTAACCTACTCACCCCTCTAAGTCCCTCCCTTATCCTCTCCCCCCATCCTATCGTCTTCCTCTCTTATTTCTTTCTGAATTTAGAAGACTTTTATACATACACACACTACATATGTTGTTTTCTCTTTAACCCATTCCCTGTGAGAGTAAGGTTCCAGCACTACCTGCCCTACCTATGATTAGCTTCTTCTGTTATCAATTTTTCCTTTTATGCCTCATTTGTCTGAGATAATTACTCCTTTTAATCTCTCCCAACACAGTTTTAATTTTTTTAGAATCACCCCATCATACTCAGCTTAGCCCAAGCCTTTCTTTCAAACTACCCAAATAATGGTGACAGTCATAAGAGTACTGCTAATATTTTCTCATATACAAAGTAAACAATTGGACCTTGTTGAGACCCTTATGATTGGTCTTTAATGTTCACCTTATATTTCTCCTGGATGTTATATGTAGAATTTTCCCTTAAGTTCTGGGGTTATTTTTTTTTGTCACAAAAACCTGAAAGTCTTTCAGTTTGTTAAATGTCAATTTTTTTTTTCATTCAGGATTATATTTAGTTTTGCTGGGTAAGTTACCTTTGGTTGTAATCCCAGCTCTTTTGCTCTATGGTAAAAGCCAGTCTCAATCAAGTTGCTTACTGTCTCAGGGAGGGAGGAGGTAAGGAGAAAATTTGGAACTCAAAATTAAAAAAAAAATTAATGTTAAAATTGTCTTTACATGTAATTGGGAAAAAATAAAACAGTTAAAAAACATTTTTTTGGGGGGCTAGGCAACTGGGTTAAGTGACTTGCCCAGGATCACACAGCTAATAAGCGTCAAGTGTTTGAGGCTGGATTTGAACTCTGGTCTTCATAAATCCAGGGTTGGTGCTGTATCCACTGTGCCACCTAGCTGCCCCTAAAAAAAAATTTAAAAAGCCACTGTCAGTTTGCTGGTCATACAAAAACAGGCAGCTGGAGAGTATATTTGGCCCTCAGATCACAATTTTCTGACCCTTGATTCCTGATCCAAGTCCAATCTCCTCATTTTACAGATAAGAAAACAAAGGCCTTATGAAGGGAAATGACTTTCTATGAGTATGCACTGTTAGTAGCATTCATCAGGACAGAAATCCATCTTTTAATCTAACGTGGTTGCTTTTTATTTCCACTCTGCCCAAACTTTACATTCCCTTTCCTGACAACAATCATTTGCAGAATCTATACCCTGTACCTTTTCCTTCTTAGTTCAATTCAATTCAATTCAACAAATATTAATTAAACATCTCCTATGTTCAAGGCAACATGAGAGACACTGAAGACACAAAGACAAAAATTCTGCGGACATGCAGTTTACACATGAATAAGCAAATGCAAAGTACACACAGAGGGATACCATGTAATTTCAAGATGGAGAAATAACTGTGGGAATCGAAACAGACCTTGCATAGGAGCACCAGAGCTTTGCTTTTAAGGAACCTAGGGGAAGGGAAAAGGAAAGGAAGAGAATAAGCATTAATATAGTGCCTACTATGTGCTAGGTACTCTGACAAGCACTTTTACAACTATCATTTCATTTGATCTTTACAACAACTCTGTGAAGTTAAGTGACTTGCCCAGAATCACAAAGCTAGTGAGTGTCTGAGGCTGGATGTGACCTCAGGTCCTCCTGATTCCAGAACACTGCATTAGAGATTAGGAGGGAATGCATTCCAGACAATGGGGGAACCACTTACATAAAGGTACAGATTTGGAAGATGGAATATTGTGTATGGGGGATAGCTAGCTAAGCAGTTTTACCAGAATGGAGAATGCATGAGGGGGCATAATATGAAAAAAGACAGCAAAAGGAGGTGGGAACCAGGTTTGGAGGACTTTAAAGGTCAGTTTGGGGAGTTTGTATTTAATCTCTGTCTGTGCCTGTCTACATTTCACTTTCCCATCAAGGTTCAGCTCAGGTGACACCTCCTCCATGAAGCCTGCTGATGCCTCCAGTTGTTAGTTCTCTCTCCCTCCTCAAATTATTGTCATTGCTGTTATTAAGACCAAGTCTCTCTATCTCACCCAGGCTGGAAGTATAGTGGCCACTCAAGAGCCTGATCCCAGCACTCCTCAGTGAAGGAGATTTAACCAGCTCCATTTTTCTGACCTGGACTGGTTTGCCCCTCTTTAAGCAGCTTAGTCGCCTTCCACTCCTAGGGACTCTCTGTTTTGGCACTACACTTCATATAGACATCCTAACAGCTTTAGCTCCACTGAATGCACCTCAGAACTTTCAAATTCTACCAGCCTCAGCCTCTCTAGCAGCAGGGATTACAGGCACACCTGTACAGGCACACCATGCCTGACTATCTCAAATTATCTCCTATTTACTTATTTGTGTACATGTTGTTTCCTTCTGCTCCCTCAGGATAATGTAAACTCCCTGAAGATAGGGTTTATTTTGTTTTTATTTTTGCTTTTTAATTATTTATTATTTTATCCCCTGGCCTAGCAGAAAACAAGCACTTTAGAAAGTTTTTCTTTTTTTCTGACTGTTCTTTGGAAGCATTTGGTTTTCACAGTGAGCTCAAAGAATCACTGGCACCAATGGATTTGTGGTCTCAACTCTGACCAGGGCTACAATGTCAATTTTCTAGGACAGCCTCCTGCAACCCTTACAGAAGAGCAGTCAACTCTTGAACCCAAATCATGCCTTTACTAAAGCTTGAGACTCTTAAATACCTTGAAAAACTGAGTGATCTAGACTAGTGGTTTCAAACTTGAATAGAAACAGGGGCCACTAAACCATACATCAGGATCCCTATGACTCCAAATTGATTTTGAAAATCACATATTAAAGTTTTCTATGTTCTATTGTAGTTTATTAATTTTGTTAAATATTTCCCAATTACATTTTAATTTGGTTCTGGACACTCAGGCATGTTGCCCACAGCTGTATGTTTGACACCTCCTGTCTAGACTTAAATATTCCTAGGGAAATATTCCTTTGAAATATGTGAGGACTTATAAGCATGAAGAGCAGGTCTACAGGTGAAGAATAGAATGAGAATCTTTTTATTTTTTTCTCTCATATTCCTGAGGACTCAGCACTGAACAGAGAGGCATGCTCTACCTGTGACTGAAGAGACAGCTATACGGAGGAGGAATCTGGCCAATGGAATGCCAGACTTGGTCATGGGGTGCCCAGCTGCCTGATGAAAGAATTAGATGCCAATAAATTACCTCATACCAAGAGTCAGAGCTAAGAATCCCTTATAAAAAGGCCTCCTGGTCTTGTGTTCCTTACAGCATCTGTCTTCTCAAAGCCTTGCTCCAGTCTACAAAGAGGGTGAGTCTCTTTGGGTTTCAAGAGTAGGGTGATGGGGTGGGATGAAGGATTTTGTAAACTTGGTGCCAGAAAACTCTGGACTAAAGAGTTATTGAGACATCCAGATAGAGATGGTAGAAGGGAAAGGTTTAGATAGGTTCTGGTTGAATATACAAAGGCTGTGGGGTACCCTGTGTTGGTAAATTATCTTAGGATATCCTGGGTCTTGCTTGTATTTAGTGATCTCTTGAGTTTCTGTTTCATGGGATGTAGAGATCCTGGATAACTTAAAGCCGTGGATAATTCAGAAGGAAATTTTATTTGGTTTTCTGATGTGTAACTTTTTTTTTTCACATTTGGTAAGGTTCAATTTGGAAATTACTATCAAAATGAGTTTGCTTTCCCAGGCCACACCCTGGATTAAGTGGTGAGAAACAGAGGCCAAGGAGGGAGAAATTACCCAGGAATTTACCATATTCTAAAGATAATCCACAAATCAGACAAAGAAGATATAGAATAAAGTAGAGTAGAATAGAAAAGGAAAGGAAAAGAAAGAAAAGAACAGAGTGAAATTGAATAAGGTATCAACAAGCATTTATCAAGAGCTTTACTATGTGCCAGGCACTGTGCTGAACCTAGGTATACAAAGAAAAGTCCTTTCCCTCCGGGGGCTCACAGTCTAATGGGGGAGACAACACACAAATAACTATGTACATGTACACATAAGATGTATGTTATATATATGAATACATGCATATACACACATGGTGGGGGGAGTGGAGGGGTGGAGAATGGAAGGTAATTGCAGAGGAAAGATAATATTTGTATGTGGCAGGGCATGGGGAGATGGTGAAAGATGTGCTAATATATGAGAAAGAACCTTGGGCTGGGAGTCGGGAGACATGGGTTAGGTCCTTTCTCTTCTATTTTCCAGTTGGGTAACCTTGGGAGAGTTCTTGGACCTATTTCTCAGAATCATAGTTTTCTCATATATAAAACAAGGGGGTTAAACTAGATGATCTTTAATAGAAATTTAGAGTTGAGAACAATCTTACAGATTATCTAATCTAATTCCCAGTGACAGATCCAGGATTAGAATCCTGTCTCCCTATACTGTAATTCTGCCAGATGTAGAAATTTTAAATGTAATTGTTTAAACCCCTCAAGTATCTAATAGATGTCTCTAGATTCTGAAAATGTCTCCCTGTTTCACTACCCCATTGTAAACTCCCTTTTTCAGATTCAGCACTTGAAGAAAAAAAAAATGTGTGACCAGCAGAAGCAGCCCCAGTTCCTGCCATGCTGTGTGAAAGGCTCAGCTTCAGGGCCCATCCAAACTACCCAAGGCCCAGCTCCTTGCCAGGCACAGGTTTCCTATGGGAGTGGACCAGAGCCATGCCAGTCTAAGACTTCCTTTGTAAAAGGAGCCTCTTCTATCTTGCAGAAAGGCCAATCTAAGAGTTCTTGTGTGAAATGTCCACCTCCATGCCAGACTACTTATGTCAAATGCCCAGCTCCATGCCAAACTACCTATGTGAAATGTGCACCTCCATGCCAGACTACCTATGTGAAATGTCCAGCTCCATGCCAAACTACCTTTGTGAAATGCCCACCTCCGTGTCAGACTACCTATGTGAAATGCGCTCCTCCGTGTCAGACTGCCTCTGTGAAATGTGCTCCTCCATGTCAAACTACCTCTGTGAAATGCCCAGCTCCAACCCAGGTACAAACCAATGTCAAATGCCCAGCTCCATGCCAAACGCAGTCTTCTGTCAAATGCCCAGCACCTTGCCAGACACAGACTTACTACGTGCAGGCTCCCTCTGTCCAGTACTTGGCACCACAGTACATGGTGCCATCTTCCTACTATGTTTCCAATTCCTGTGGCACCACTTCCTGCCCCACGGCTCCGATAAGCTTTGGAGTGAGGCCTTTGAGGCGCTGGATTCGTGGGCCCCAGTGCCGTGAAAGAAACATAGGCTGTTGTGAGAATTCTGGCTGTTGTGAGGATTCTGGCTGTTGTAGCTCTGGCTGTTGTAGCTCTGGCTGTTGTAGCTCTGGCTGCTGTTTGGGAATCATTCCCATGAGAGCCTGTGGCCCTGCCTGCTGTGCCAATGATGAAGATGACTGCTGCTGTTAGGATCCAACCTTCACTGCCATCTCCTTCTGCTATGTCCCTATTCTCTACCAGCTGGCTCTTGCTCCACAAGAGTAATCCTGGTCCTCTCATCCTCAGTCCTACCCAGTGATCCTGAAACCACAATGGTTGGAAGGAGAAAGGGAATAAGAAACTCCTAACATGTTCTCTGTGCCATGCTTGCTTCTTTTAAAAGGCTGCCTGCTAGAGTTAGATCAAAATAACAAAAACTTGTGCAACAATAAAACTGAGAATGCAACTTATAACAGTTCCCTGCGTGGTCATTTTCCCTCTGTTTGACTTCTCTAGGATCTTACTTCTTTCTGCACCTGAAGCTTAGCAAGAGCACAGAGGGAGGAGGAGGTGGACCAGGTTTGTCCTAGAGCAAGTTCCCAGTTTATTTTAGAACACACAGAGAATAATTCCATTTAAAATTGCCCGGGGTATGGAATGAAGGTCTCTGTCAAGCTAAAAGGCCTCTCCTGACCACTGACAGCAGAAAGTAACGAAGGTTCATAGGGTCATAACTTAGGCAGCTAGGTGGTGCGGTGGATAGAGCACTACGCCTGGAGACAAAAAGACTCATCTTCCTGAGTTCAAATCTGGCTTTAGACACTAGCTGTGTGACCCTGGACAAGTCATTTAAACTGTTTGCCTCAGTTTCCTCATCTGTAAAATGAGCTGGAGAAGGAAATGGTAAAGCACTCTAGCATCTTTGCCAAGAAAACCCTAAATGGGATCATGAAAAATCAGACGTGACTGAAAATGACTGAACAGTGATTGTCCAGTGATAAGGGCCAGAGGGTGATGACTGCATAAGTGAAGAGGAGAGATAGATAAGAGGAAGAGTCAATAAGACTTGGAAACTGATTAAATATATGGGGTGAAGGAGATTTGAGGATGAAGAGTTGAAAGGGATTGAGTGAAGAGTTGAGGATTACTCTGAGATTGTGAACCTAGGGTACTAGAAGGTTGGTAGAGACCTCAGTTTTCTCATCTGTAAAACGAGTTGGAGAAGGAAATGGCAAACCCCAAATGAGGACACAAAGAGTTAGACATAACTAAATACCTACCTACCTATGACCTTAATTGCCCTCATTTTATCAATGTGAGAATGAGGACTAGAAAGGTTAAGTAGCTCACTGAAAGTCACATAAGTGCTAAGCAGAACTGGAATCCAAATGCTGATTTTTCTGACTCCAAATTCACTCTTTTCCCCTCTCCCCCCACTATACTCAGGGGTTGCTTGGTTGGAGGTTGTCCTTCCTTCTTGAAGAGGACCAGAATGACATCACTTTGTTAGAGTCAAGATACAGTGTGTCGACTGTGGTTGATCTGACCAATACAAGCTCAGAAGGCTCTACCACAGGTCAGGCACAAATAGTCATATGAACATTTGGAGTGGAGATGTCTCTAAATTTATGCATCTTGCCTTTCTTTTGTGCTACTGCAATCTGCTTCACTCATAGAAAGTGAACTTATCCACAGCATTTGATATCTCTCCCTTTGCTGTAATTGGTGGTTCCACCCATGGATGGTGTGGTGCTGACAGATGGACAACCTGTATTTTCTTGTTTTTAATTGTTAGGCCAAAATTAGCACATTTGGCAGAGAATCGATCCATACCTTGTTGTATCTCAGCTTCAGAGACTTCACCGAATGCATAATCATCTGCGAACAAAAAATCTTGCACCAATTCTCCCTCTACTTAGTAGCCCTGTAGCCTTTTCAAGTTAAATAATTTGCCATCAGTACGGTGGCTGACTTTGATGCCTTTTTTGTCCTTGTTGAAGGCATCTGACAACATTGCTGAAAGCATCATGCTAAAAAGCATGGGAGCAGGCACACAGTTTTGCTTCACTCCATTGGTGACTGGGAAAACTCAAGAGCATCATTCGTTATCTGGAAGCTGGGTAAGCATATCATCTTGAAATTGATGTATAACAATGATGAACTTCTCTGGGCAACCAAATTGTATACACCATCATGGTATACAACACCAGCTTGTAGAAAACACAGATAAAACCTACGGTACTGATAATGAAGTCCTCTGTGATATCTGTTTCAAAATCCTGAAACTGACCACTCCCACGTATGGATAATGGAGGCATCCTTGAACTCCTGGGGGAATAACCTCCTCTTGGCATGTAACTTGGAAAATTTCTGTCAGCTTTTGCATGAGCAGTGAATCCCCACCCTTGTAAATCTCAGCTGAAATAGAATCAGCACCAGGTACTTTGCCACAGGAGAGGAGCCTAATAGCATTCAAAACCTCTTCTTCAGTTGAAGTTCAGCTAGAGAGGAATTGACTTCAACCTGAGGTATATGACCAATGGCTTCAGCATTGATTGATGATAGTCTATTTAGAACACTATGGAAGTGTTCAGCCCATCTCTCCAGGATCATGTCCTTATCACTAATCAACCCATCACTCCATCAGCACTGAGTAGTTGAGATGCACCGTAGGTTTTTGGCCCATAAATATCTTTCAGGGCATCATAAAAACACTTTGGATTGTTACTATCAGTATAAAACCGAATTTCATCTGCCTTCTTACTTAGCCAAGAATCCTGCAAGTCTCTAAGCTTTGCTTGTACTTTACTTTTGATGAAGTTAAATGCTGCTTTCTTAGAGATGGATAAACTACTCTGCTGGTAAACCCTGTGGAGTTCTCATTTTTTATCAGCTTCTGAATTTCCCTATCATTGTTTTCAAACCAATTTTCATGTTTGCAAATATTCTGGCCCAGATGAGTAAATGCAATGCTATACACCAGGTCTCTGAAAGTTGCCTACTCCTTTTTCTGATCCACTGTTGGCTCAGTTTTCCCTCCAAGTTAGCAATGGAACTGTTCCCTCAGAGAAGCTCTCTAATGTTGACATTAAGAATTCTGGTGGTTGTCTTGCCTTGGGGCTGCCACTTTTGTTGAATGTGAATATTTAGCTTGGAGAGGATAAAGTTATGATCAGTTCAGCACTGTGCCACATATCGCCTTCATCACTCTCACACCTGTCTGTCTCTTCTCCTTAAAAGGACAGAATCTATTAAATGCCAATGTTTTCTGTGAGGGTGTATCCATGAAATTTTATTACATTTAGGTAAACAGAAGACAGTGTTGGTGATGAGAAGGTCATGAGATGCATAAGTCTTCAGTAGTAAGTCACCATTGCTGTTGATGTTTCCAACTCCATTCTTCCCTAGGATTCCCTGCCATGTCTCATAGTCTGTGCCTACTTTTGCATTAAAGTCACCTAGAATTATAAGCTTGGCCTCTTTTGGCACATTGATGATGAGGGTTTCTCTGTCTTCATAAAATTTTTCTTTGGCCTCATCAGGGTTCATCATGGTGGGAGCACATGCACTGATGATGGTGGCATGGTGCTTTCCTGCAAGTGGCAATCTTGTTGTCATGAGTCCGTCATTCACTCCTTTTGGTAGGCATACAAGCTTGTTGGCTAGATTAGTTTTGATTGTAAAACCTATACCAGCTTCACGATACTCCTTTTCACTGCAGCAACTCCAGAAAAATGTGTACCCAGCTCTGTAAGTTGGCCTTCATTTGCCAGCCTTATCTCACTCAGTACTGCCATTTGGATGTGATACCTGCTGAGCTAGTCTTCTTTCAGTTCTATTGGATTTCATATTGTCCATAAGCATGCACACATTTCATGTACTAATCATAAGTAGAATCATCTTTGCAAAAGTGTGTGTATGCTTTTTTGTTTTGTCCACAGGGTGGGATCCTCACCTGCCATGGTAGGCAGGCTGGGGTTGGATGAAGCAGATAATTTTTAGGGAACCTTTTCTAGTCCCTTCCTCACACCTGGAGGTGAGTAGTGTGGGCCTTAAAAAAGGCTGCTCAGACACCCAGGAAGCTGCTAAATCCCACTGCTGCTTCCAGTGAGAAGACAACCCTATGCCCTGTGTGCAGGGTTGTGACTACAGGTCCCAGTGTATCTACACCTGCTACTTTGTCACTACTTACCTGTTGCCATAGGACTTTGAGATAGGTCTTTTGATTCATGAATAAATTGGATTTAAGTGAGGCAGAGTTGTACAAAGCCATAGGCCTCACTCTCTCTTCCAGAGTCATCAGAGTCAAGACAAAGTCAAGATGACTCGGGATGCAGTGGATTACCTTGGCATCTTTGATGTCTAACCAAACTCTAAGTGCTCCACAATGCAGCCTTAACAATCTTGGGGTAGCCATCCCCCTAACTCACTGAAAGGTTTGAGACCCCTCAGTTACCTTCAAACTAGCTTAGCTCACCTGCCCAGATGGTTTACTGGGGTGTGGCTATTGCACATGCTACAGCTTCTTGGAACCACAAGTGAGAGTTGGGCACCAAGTGGATACCAAAGGTGGATGATCAACCCTGAAAGGGGCTCAGCAGCCCTCATACCAGAGGTACTAGTCTTTCCTCAGCACACCCTACACCCCTCAGGTGTTGTTACCCTTGATTGTAATGCAGACTTCTTGGCTTCCCTGGTTTTGAAGAGTATGTGAGGTCATCACCTTAGTGGTTGTAAATATATACTCAAGTTAGAAGAATGAAATAATAACACAAGCCTTTTGAAGGGCTGGGTTCCCTGAAGTCAAGAGAGCTCTCAAAGACCAACCTGGAGATCACATTAAAGAATATAGTTTTAGCTTTTTCCCTACGATCTGTAGATTCAACCAAGCACATTGAAAGAGACTTCTACCTAGAGGAAGAACTGATGGTCTCTGAATAAGGACTGAAGCATGCTTTTTTCACTTTATTTTTCTTGAGTTTTTTTTGTCTATGTTTTCTTTCACAACATGACTATTATGGATATGTTTTGCATGACTACACATGTATAACCTGGCCAAGTTTTGCCTGCCTCAGAAATTTCTTCTCTTTGAACAGGACATGACAAAATTTCTAAACCATATCCATGGACTTAAGCCAGTTATACATTATCCATTACAATAAAAGAGGGGATGCTGGAATCACTCACCACCCCAGGCAACTGAAATGGTATAGATTCATCACCCCAAATATAGATTGTGAGCTTTTACCCTTGGTTGAGTGTAGAGGTCACAGAGATTATAAATATATAGCTCTTTGAGCAGTATATACCAGTAGAGGAAAAGAAAGCCATTGGTAGAGTCTTCTTCTCTTACCCTGATGAAGCAAGAAGACTAGAATGCCATGAAGAAATGCTCCTCAATTAGGTGGGACACTATTCTATCACCAGTGGATAACTCCTATGAGCTTTGAGGGCTTAGTCCAAGGAATCC